ATGGATTGAATTGAGTGAAGGATTTAATTTGGATTCTCAAATCACTTATAGGGGGGAATATTCTGATGGCTCAAAAGTAGGACAATGGGATATTTATAGTCACAATAACAGAATGTAATAAAATAAATATTTAATCTTAAAGTGGAGGTGGGTCATATGATTTAGAAGGCAACAACTATAAGATTGGAAGTTGGGTTGAATTGATTAAAGGATTTAGTTAAAAATCTCAATTCACTTATTGTGGCGAATATAAAGATGGGAAAAAAATTAATTAATGGAAAATAGAATTAAATAAAACTCAAATGTTATATCAATATTATATCTATTTTAGTGGTGGTGGATCATATGATGAAAAATCTGATTAAATTAAAATTGGATCATGGAAGGAATTAAATGAAATGTCTGAAAATGAATTTCAAATCACATTAGAAGGACAATATAAAAATGGTAAAAAAATTGGTAGATGGACAACATATTTGAATTAACAGGATTAAAAGGAATTGATGTAATGATTAATTGTTATATGAACAACAATTTTAGTGGGGCTGGATCTTATGAAGAAAAGGGTTTTATTAAGACAGGAAAATGGGTTGAATTAAGTGTTAACTTTAAGTATGATTCGTAAGTCGTTTATAAAGGTGAGTATAAATAAGGTAAAAAAGTTGGAAAATGGTTCATTTTATTTAAGAACGTCTATGATTATTCAAAATATGAATAAATGTAATTATAAAAACAAAAATTTAGTGGAGGTGGATCATATTAAGAACCTTCTATCAAGATGGGTGTGTGGACTGAATTGAGTGATGACTTTTCAAATTGTAACTAAATTACTTATGCTGGTGAATATAAATAGGGTTAAAAAGTTGGTAAATGGGTGGAAAAGGATATTTCCAAGAATCGTATTGTGAAAGAAATCATTTATAATATCTGAATATTTATCATATTAATCAATTTATTCTATGTGATAGTAATATATTCTTATTTATAAGGATAATTTTTGGGAGATTTTAATATTTCTTTTTATTTTTGAATAACT